AACAAGCTCACGCCGCAAGTAAACGCCAATCACCTTTCTCTCCCGTCTCTATTTTAGTTCCCCTTTTTTCTCACTTCCCCGCTCACTATTGCGGATTCTCTTCGAGCTCCCTAGTGCGCGTTTATCTCTTGCTTTTCTCCGGTTTTTGATCTCCTTGCCTGCTTCTCGTTTTCGATTTCGCCTTGTGATTTGGATTGCTGCTTCCTCGTTATACTTCTGTGTTTTGACCTACTCGCCTGCTTCCTGGATTCGATTTCGCCTTGTGTTTTTGGATTGTTGCTTCCTCGTTGTCTCTCTGTGTTCAGACCTACTCACCTGCCTCCTGGTTTTCGTTTTTGCCTAGCGATTGAGCTTAGTGTCTTTCTCTTAGTCTTGAGTCCTGCATAGGATCCTATTTCCCTATCAGCCCAACTCTTACATAGCCAAAAGGCCGAAAAGCGATCTTTCATTGCCTCTCTGGACAGCTTTAAATTTGAAGATCAAAGATTTGGTATACCTAACGTAATCTAAACCAAGACAGCTGACTCAATACACACTTTGCAGGCATGCATTCTGAAGCATGTCTTCTGTTTCTAATTCTAAACGGTACTGATCAGGCTGGCCACTTTTTGATTTGGTTATAGGAGGAATAACATACATAGGTTGAAACACTGGCAACCTAACTATTGCATAGCACAGTGCCATACCATTCACTACAACAGGGCTGTGTCTTTAAGGCTCTTTAAACTGCTTCTTTTTAATAACAGGCTGTTTACTAAAGAGGTACAAAAATACATAGATGAGCAAATATAATAACCTCCTATTGTGCATTGTTTCCCAGTTAATTGTAGAGTCTGACAATGAGTTATAAATAGTGAAAATTTGTTTTGAGACAGCAAATAGAATTAATCCAGCCTCCAAAGTTAAAGCCAGGCTGGCTTTCCAACATGAAGGCATAAAAAATACATGGACTACAGTGCCATCTACTGGTGAGTACTGGAATGTTTCCTGAAATCCTGACTGGTTAAATGTGACTCGTTAGAAATGTCTTAAACTGCACCTGTGACAAATGCAGCTTGTCAGCCTTGAGGCCTGAAATTTCTCACTATTGCTGCACTGCCGGATATCCTGTATTTTATATGAATTATTCCTCTTGCTTCAAGTCCAGAATTATGAGTGGTTTTTTCTTTATCTAATCACATAATCTTACTCCGTAAGATCACTTCTTTAGCCCTATACAATTTCTTGCATTAGGAATTTGTCTTTTCACATACCCCAGCTTGCTCTCCATGAGACACACAGACAGGGAGAGAAGCTTGGGGTCAGAGCGCAGGGTCAGCCATTTATACAGCACCCCTGGAGCAGTTGGGGTGAAGGGCCTTGCTCAAGGGCCCAACAGAGTAGGATTCCTCTGCCAGCCGCCGGATTTGAACCGGCAACCTTCCAGCCACAGGCGCAGATCCACCACAGCCACAGAGCCACCACAGTACCCTGATATAGCTTACTTTGCTGTTATTCACATTTACTGTATGGTAGTGTACTTTATTATGTATTTTAATAGTTTAAATGTATCCTTAACTGCACTGGATCATTTTAAGTATATATATATGGGTAATTTCACTTGGTTACAGTTATCTGTAAAATCCGGATACTTCCATTGTACAAACTGTGATCATTATTATGATCACGATCTTAAAAATTCCCTCCCCCTCTGTTGTGTTCAGAACGTTTTACTCCACATTAACACAAGTCATGTTCACATACAGTATATCACCACATTCTTCGGTTTTTCCTCTCAGATGCTGTTCCCTGGGTTCACAGATCATAACGACTCTCTCTCTTACCTTGGAGGATAACAGTCAGATGGCCGTCTCTCAGAAGACAGGCAACCTCTGTGGATTTCCTCAGACAGGCCCTGGGCACAGAGAGTCCCATTAATTCCCTACCTTGGAGTCAGAGTTAGTCATTGCAACTCTGCTCTGCAGTTCTTCACCATGGAACACAAGTCACTTTGCATTGATTTTTATAGTTAATTTCCCAGCCTTTGAAATGAAAGCTCTCGGCTCAGTGGTGCATTTTTAGAGGTTTGGAAACCACAATTATTGCTCCCCCTTTTGCAGTGTTACAATGATCCACCCACCCATTTTCTACCCATCTCGTCCCATTTGAGGTCACGATGGGAGCCAGAGTCTAGCCCAGCAAACAACAGGCGCAAGGCAGGGTACGCCCTGGGCAGGATGCCAGTCTATCACAGGATAGACACACACTCACACCTCGGGGGCAGTTTTTCTAGGAGCCAATTAACTTGCCAGGATGTCTCTGGTCTGTGGGAGGAAACCGGAGCACCTGGAGGAACCCACGCAAACCTGTGGAGAACATGCAAACTCCACCCAGACAGCACCCCCTGTCCAGAATTGAACCCAGGGCCCCAGCGCTGCAAGACAGCAATGTTCACCACCCTGCCACCCACTACATGGCTCAGTAAATTGTTCCCACAAAACATAATGTTAATGTGTTACATTTTAATTCTAAGCAACTCCTTTTCAGAATTAACATTGTATTTGTGCAGAAATCATCATAATACGATATCATCCTTTCAGTTTGTGTCTTTAAAGATGTCAGACTAAACCTGTTACCTATCCAACACATCTGTTTGCTTTTTAATTTTGTTTTTCCAACACAGAAAGCTTTTGTTTAGTTAAAGGTTCTTACCGCAGCTGGGATGGTTTAAAACTTAGGCAACCTAAATATATTCAGGAAATGTGACCGTCATATTTCATGACCATTTTTTTTCAATAATGTAACAGAGTGTTTCAGATTGACTAAAGTTTTGCTCCTGATTTGAGGAAATACAATTATGCTGTGGTTGTCTTCAGAATGAAGCCATTTAATGAGGAAAAGAGTTTAACAATGAACAGTTTGCAAAAGCATTAGAGCAAACGTTAGTCAGCTCAATGAAATAATACATTTTAAAATATGTTTTATTATCCTGATGTCTGTGCATCTACAAAAAACAACCTTCGAGTTGTGTATCCAGTAAGTGTATCCAGTTTGCAGTAAATTAAACTCTGTTCTATTTTCTTATAATATTCCAGCAAACTGCAGGTCTC